ACTGTTCCTTCCTTGTGCTTCAACTCCTTCATGTAACAGAAGGTTATACAGATCTGGATGGACTCAACAGATTAGAGACCTGCAAGTCCTCAAAACCAGTCCCTAAACAAACTCTTATATTTGCCCCCTTGGAATACCAGCAGCACTAATCTAGATAGAATTGGATTTCTCTCAAATAGAGGGCAATCTGATATGCCACTTTTTAAAAGCATAATTTCTCATGAAAATTATCTGTCAAAAGTTATGCTAGGCCCAATTAAAGAACTATAAAGACTTAGATTTTACATACCATAAACTTTCTAGTATATGCTCATGGGCTAACGTGGTTTTTCTTTAGCTAGCACTAGGCAGTAAGCTAACCAACTGGCTCTTCAATCTGAACACTATCCTTGACAGGCTATTCAAAAATTTTTCCATATTACTTTTTAAGATACATAATTGAATAGGTAATATACTTCAATAGCACAAGATTAAGAAAGTACACAACTCCACATCTTGCTTTTTCCCATATTATATCATGGATAATTTTACATCTAAGTACATAAAGAGTTTTCTCATTCAATAAAGGTCTCATTATTTATTTGATCAGTTCTTTATTAATGGACACCTGGTTGTTTCTCATTTTTTGTTATTACAAATGTTACAGTGAATAACCTTGTACACACAGCAGTTTACACCTATGTACACATAACAGAAAGAGAAATTACTAGAAATGGAATTTTGGGATCGAAGTCTCGTATTTGCAATTTTTATAGTTCTTGCAAAATTGCCCTTAATTGAATAACTTTAACCAGTAATTTATGAGAGGACTCTCTCCTACCTTTGACAACACAGTGTATTACCAATGTTTTTATACTTATTAATGTTATCTCACTGTAGTTTTTATCACTATTCTCCAATCATGGGGTTAGCTACCATTATTGGCATAGAAGCCATTTATTCATTTTGATACTCAGGGTACAGGTACAGGGCAATTATAAATGTTCCTAGAGCACTGTATTTTCAGAGTTTCCTGAACTACTGTCTTGATAGATGCCCAGTGAACTTTGTTCATTTCCTTTTATTCTGCCCCATTTTTTTCTAGAATTATCCCAGGCATTTCTTGAGCACCCATTTTATTTTAAAACTAGTATCACTAGAGGCAAACACAGTACCTGGTACAATAGTAAGAGCTTAAACAAAATATGGAACAAATTAATAATAGCAATACCAGAAACATTTACTTACTACTTTACATGGCTAAGTACTCTTGTAACTATTTCAGTCTGTATTTGCAATGACAATTTCAAAATTAAAGATAAAGCTGCTTTAGACATGACACTTTAGGTACCACCAATGACACTTTAGGTGCCACCATAATCTATTGCTCTGAAAGTTTTTGTGGTACCGTTTATTATACAGAGAAACTCACTGCTTTATTTATTCTTCCTTTATAATTAACTTTTTAAATAAAGATGTTATTTATTTATTTTTAGAGAGAGGGGAAGGGAGGGAGAGAGGGAGAGAATCATCAATGTGTGGTTGTCTCTTGCACGCTCCCTACTGGGGACCTGGCCACAACCCAGGCATGTGCCCTGACTGGGAATCAAACCAGTGACCCTTTGGTTTACAGGCCAGCACCCATTCCACTGAGCCACACCAGCCAGGGCTATAATTAACTTTTAAGATCACATTGTGTTTACTTCTTGTTTTGTAAAACCTGAAATGGCTTTTGGCCAAAAGTCTGTTGACTGTTGTGGTGGGGGTTGGGGGGAACATTTTTCTGAGGAAGGGGGAGGTGAGCAGAGAACTCATTTAAGTTGATTTATCTACACTCTCTTGGCCAGATCCATTTGTGACCATGTGCACACACTTGTGGGACACCTGACTAAGGTTCTCATGGGGAAGAGAACAGAATTAACAGAATCTATAATACTTGATTAAACTATTAACTTTGCCTCATTAGCACCACACTCTAACCCCTTCACATGGGATGGTATTGTATAGGCATTTGTCACTCACCATATAAATACTTCCTGAAAAACTTGGGGATCCAAAGACTTCATCATCATCATCACCACCAATAGTAATACTAGCTAACACTTATGGGGCGTTTACTGTTTTCTAATTGTTTTACGTCTATTAATACATTTTATCCCATTATTCCATTTTACAAATAAAGGAGAGTGAAATTAAGTAACTTGAATGAGGTGAAATAGCTATTAAATGTCTGAGTCTGGTTGGTTCTGAGCCCAAGCAGTCAGTCTCCAGAACCCACTCTGAAATCTGTTTTGTTTTGCAATTCGCAAAAGAGAAAATGTTTTTTGAAACACACTTCTGAAATCCCAACAGGAGCCCTCCAAGCTGTCAGTGGTCTGCGATGACACCAAGTGGTAATCTGGGTGTGCTGCAGGCATCTCTTGATGTAAATCACTCCTGCCCAAGCTTGCCCAAGTAACTACTATATTCCAAGAGCCAATATGCTTGCTCTACAGAGAGCTTCATGACAAACCTGTTTACAAGCAGATTGCAATACTTCAACCCAACTTTTTCTTATGTCAAAGAAAGAAGCGTCTTTCTCAAGGTTAGCTTGTATTTTGCATCCCATTTCTATCTCCCTACATATTTCACTCCATTATTTATCTCTCCCTTTTCTTGCCTCTTCAAGTTCTGTTTCACTAGTGGCTCTTCCTTTTAAACCTAAGTGAGTTCCTGTTTCTCCTATCCAGCAATGACAAGATAAACAGAACAAACCTCTCCTTCAACAATCACTCAGATTCACCTTCTTTAGAAAAGAGTTCTAATAAAGGGATTTCCTTGATTAAAAGCCTTAATTCTTTTTCAATCACTTTCTGAATTAAGTACAAATCTCAGTCCAACATTCAGGACCTTCCAAAAATGTGTTTCAATTTACCTTATCTCCCACAAGTCCCTTACATTTACTTACCCTAAGCTTCAACCTCACAGTTCCTCATATGTGATTTTTTTTTCACAAGGTGTTTCCTCCACATGGACTTGCCTTTATCAGAAGACTCAGCATAATCTTATATAATTAATCATGTTTTTTAATTTTAATTAAATTATAATTATTTCTAGTTATTTGGGCTATCTACCACCCACCCACCCATACATTATGAGTGCCTGAAGGCAGGGACTAAATGTTAACAGGTGAGCAAGTAAAAATTAGCTTGGGCTGAGAAAGCAGAAATCCAGCCAGTCATCAGGCTGCAATAATAGACGCCGATAAAGCCAGCTGCAAATTTAACAGAGAACAGTATTTCTTCCAAAGTCACACATCTGTAAAATGAAAACAACCCCCTTTAAGCGAACACTACTTTTTTCATCACCGAGAAACTGTTCTCTACAGTTAGCGACTATAAGAAACTTGCTGCTTGAAATCAGAGTAGTGAGAAGAAAACAACCCACATTTGTCTGGAGGGCATAAGTTTCTTGGACACAGAGAAGCAGCCTTGATTTCCAATCCAGGTGCAGAGCTTCAGATAAGAGGTGTTGTGTGGACACAACATTCCACATCTATCTTTACTTTGTGGTTTCCAAGGAAACAGGACTCTGGGTTCATTTTGCTGTCCAGACCTTATGTTGACCCCTTCACACAGGCCTGCTTTTAGCTTACCAAAACAATTCTTCGTTTAAAATTCGCCTAAACTCCACTCTTCCCTGTAATTCCTATGACTCTTTTTCTTTGTTTGGCGAGGTGTCCCACGGTTTCTCTGGTGTGGGGAGTGGGTCAAAAAGCCTGACTTTTTGGATTACAGATTTGTCCTCGGTGGCTTTGCGCTGTGTGTTTTGTATCCCTGGCTCCTTAGCTCGCCCAAAGTAAGCGTTCAAAATTGCTCACTCTAGTAGACTCTGAATTAGAGTATTTGGGTTATAGTTAAATAACTTAGATTGATTATATGGATTCCAGTCTCAGTTCTACCAATAACTAATTAGCAGGATCATCTTACACAAGTCAGTGCATCCCATTGGCCTGTTTTTTTTAAATAAGAATTAAAAAAAAAGATTTTATTTGTTTTTAGAGAGGGGAAGGGAGGGAGAAAGAGAGGGAGAGAGCTGGGGAGCTGGCCTACAACCCAGGGTACCCTGGCTGGGAATTCCGACTGGGAATTGAACCCACAACCCTTTGATTAATAGGTTGGGTCTCAGTCCACTGAGCTACACCAGCCAGGGCCCATTTGGGTGTTTTTTTTTTCTTCTGTAAAATGAGGGGCTGTTTCTCACAATAAGAGGGCAAGGGCTTTGGTGTCAGGTAGATCCAGGCTGGAATCCCAGTTCTACCACTTAGTAAGGCCTATGATTTTTGCTTTTCTGAGCCTCCGTTTCTATTTTAACAATGAAAATGGATATAATACCAAAAACTGCCTGGTAGATTTTCCAGGTCAATGAGGATCAAGTTGGTTGTTACAAGCACCACTATATTTGATTACTATTTCTATGCCTATTATGTGAGCTAGGACAAGTAAACCTTTCTGTGCCTCTGTTTTCTTATAAATAAAAGTGGACAAATAATACCACGTAACCCAATGGGGTTATTGTGGGCATTAAACGAGATGAAAAAAGTAAAAGGCTTGAACAGCGTCTCACATATTATTAGAGGCTCAAAATATGTGAACTAATATAATTACTATTCTATTTCTACTACTAACTATTCTGTGGCCAGAAGCTCAGGACGAACAATTTCATTATAAGGAGAAAACCAAAAAACGTACTGCAGGCTCAGAACAGTGAGACGTAATGCAGTATTTCTCTTTCAAAAGCAATTGACACGCCTAGCACTGGGTTAGGATCCGCCTAGTCCTCATTAAATATGGCAGCGAGCTGGGACGGCTTATTGCGGCTGCGCACGCGGAAACACCTCCCAGCGCCTAGATCTCAGCTGCAGTGTCGGCCCTGCCGCCTCCCAGGCTGGCATCGCCCCCGCCCGGCTCGGCGGAGGTGCTGAGAGAGGGCCCGCCAGGGCGCGCACGCGCAGACGTCAGCTGTGCTTGGCGGATACTTGGCTAGGCGCCTGTCACATGAGCCGCGCGCCCGCTCGGCTCCCTCTCCTCCCGGCGGGCTGTGAATGAAGCTCTGCCGGCTACGTGGGGCGCTAGCTCAACTTGGTGTTCTGAACGCCAGAGCCGACTGAGCGCTTGGCCCGCCAGTGGCGGACACGGGCTCCACCTCTTCTGACCTCGGCGACAGGTAAAGACAGATGAGCTGTCCCTTCCCCAGCAGGTCCTTCGCGGCCCGCTGGCCCCCGACCCAGCCCCGGAGCACCCTGTGGGCGCAGCGACACTGGGAAGCGCTGCCCGGCTGATTCGGCCCCCAGAAGATGGGGGTTCCCCATGCCCGGCCGCCGCCGTCTGGCACTCGAAGGAGTTAGATCGGCTAGTTCTAGCCAGTGCAGGGCGGCATCTTACCGGGAGCTCAGCTCTAGTCTCCGAGCCAAGGGTCCCTGCGCTGTCCCAGCAAAGTTTTCTTACGGAGCGGCGCCAAGCCCGACCCGCTTTTGAATGGGGGAGGTTGGCTGCGGGCGTCCCCTTTCCAGGACTGGAGCAGAGTGGCTTTGGTTGGTAAAGCTCTGTCAAGGCCCGGTTCTCTCTCCTGCTCTAGATTCTCAGGTTGGTGTGGGTCTTAGAGAAGGAGTCCAAACTCCCGGAAAACTAGTTGCTGCAAGTTTTTCTTTTCCAACTTAATGCGGGTAGCCAGTTTTCTCCAGACTTTCCAGGCTTGCGCCTAAGCGCTTTCAGCACGAAGGGCTTTCTCTTCACGTCGATGAGCCTTTACCTTTATACATTTCAGAGCAAATCAGTTTCCTCGACTGTCAAGTGAAGCTGTACGTGTGCCCCGTGTGATAACGTCAGTGTAAGCTACCTCGAGTAAATGAGGGAAATCCAGAAGTGTCGAGCATAAAAAGCCAGTAAGAATGCGCTTTATGTAAACTCCATACATTTATTAGCAATTACCTGGGCTAGACTTCAGAGATGTTAAATTTCACCCGGCCCTACCAGGGTCGGATCACTACTGTTTAACTGCAAAAGAAGGCAAACTCAAAACTGTCCCAGGTTCCAGAGAAGTCATCAGGGCGCTTTTTTTTTTCTTTTCCTGGCGAATCCATCTTAGGACTTTGTGAACTTTTCCTTATCCAAAGCATTGTCTTTTCTCTGTTGGTGTTTTTTGGACTAGTGTACACATTCACACTTAGTTCTTAAAAAATTCATTAAAGAAGGCCAACATGATGACTGTCAAGTTTGTGTTAGTCTTCAGTACTGCAATAGTGCTTTCATTTCAGGGTGGAGGTGTTTCTTGTATAAAAGCTATGGAAATAGCAATGTACTTTGATGTTCACCAGGTCAAAAAGGTGAGGACTTCTTTAAAAATGCCGGTTGGCTCATATGGCAAATTTGGAAGACCAATTTATTAATTAAGAACTTGTTTAAATGAACAAGCAAAGTGTTTAATATATAATATCTTGAAATCAAAGTAATCAGACCTTTCATTTTTTCCTCCCATTCCTAGCACCTTTTAAATCCTTGGTATAGTATTGTCCTAAGGCTGATTTTGACATTTTAAAAATAGGAATGAGTTGAATTAATTTGGCTTTACTTAAATTAGTATTTTATTTTTTCTTTTTCTTTGGGTCTCCCCCCTGCCATTATAAAAGCAACAACTGCTCCCTAAAGGACATTGGCAAAGTGTGGGAAGGTAAAATGGAGTGGAGAGAAAAACCACCCAGAGGGCATCACTCTTTCTATTATGTTTCCTTTCTTTTCCTACACAAGATCTATTTTAAACTTCAAGTAGTCACAAATTTGCTGTACCTTCTACATTTTTTTTAAAATGTAAAGTTGGGGGTTTGGGGAGGGCATTGGATATTATGCTGCTCTTCATTTCCCAAAGCATGGGATGTCAAGATAGGAAAGATGCTTAATGATTATCCCATCCAACCCCCCATCCTTTGAGATTTCAAAACTCATTTGTTGAAGATCCAGCGATTTATGCAGAATTGGACAACACTCAGTGACAGTGTAAACTGACTCTAGATCTCCCCATTTTATCCTTCAGAGATTCCTTGATGCTTAGGAGGGACCTTGACACTACCTGTATTTATATATCTTTGAAAGAGAGGCTCAGGGAGGAATAGGAGATAATTTTCAAGGATTTGAAATGTTTTTTTCATTTAGATAGCCTTTTTTTTTTCTTTTTTACTTTTTCAGGTTTGGGGCTTAAGCATCTGTCAGAGAGCACACTGCTGCTGTTCCACTTATATTCTATTCAAGCCTCTCAACAAAACTGGGGGCTTTGGGAAACTCTGAGCCTGTGACCCCAACGTGGGAGTGGATAGGATCAACATGGCCATGTGGCAGGGTAAGAAATTAGCACTCATTCCTCTAACTGGTTTTTCCTCCTTCTCCATCCTCCATTCCTACCCCCCTCCCAGCTAGTGGCAGGCAGCCAGCTGTTTCTTTAATTTAACCCTTTGTCCTCACAAGGACAAGGCATATTAGTTTAAAAGAAGTTGCTGCTTGCTAGAAAAAATTATTTTAAAGTGGGGATGGAGGGGTGATAGGGGACGTAGAAGGAAAAAGTCTTGCCAGAAGCATTTTCAAAAAACTTCCTTTGTTTGAACATGTGCTTGTGGGGGGATATATGTTAGGAAATGGGGTTTTTTCATATTTGTGTTTTTCATTTGTTTGTGGCAATTTTTTATCATAAGGTTCTCAAAGGTAGGGGAGAGCCTTATGATAAAAAGGCCTCCTCTGGCTTCCTCTTCCCAGTAAAGACTTTAAAGCATATTTAAAGTTACAGTGTTTATGGTTGGTGATAGAAGGAAAACGCCTATGTTAATGCAATGAACAACATAAGAACAAAGCTCAATGATATCTTGACTGATGGATTACATCTCTTGTGAACCTGTGAGTTGTTACCAGCACACAGTTATGTTTTATTTTTGGTGGGGTTGAAGATTGGACTCTTTGGGAGAGTATCAGAATCTCCAGGGGTGTGTGGGATTTTTATGTTTATCAGAAAGGAGTATAGGTTTAAGAAATGATAGGCAAACCCTACCCAAATTGTCTGTGACCCCCAAAAAGTTAAAGATGAGGTAGAATGAAGAGTTTGGATATCTATAAATATACAACATGTAAGTTTGTTGGTGGTCTAATGGAGCTTTTAAAACTGTCTCCTGTTGGTTATGGCTGCAAGTATGTAGTTACACAAATGTAACTATTTTTGATGTAAGAGGATTGTCAAGTTAAAGACATTTATTGAAATAGAATTTGGCCTGTATGCCTGCTTTGACTCATACAATGGGCATTTATCAGGAGCAGTTTGAATATTCTTGTTTAAATCCTGAGATATTCTTTCATTCAACAAACAGAATACAGAAATGAATAAGACAGGGAACTCTAGACAGTTCCCTGTCTTATGGGAAAGAGACAAACAAAAACTGTGTCCGGCTGAATGAGTGTTACAATACGGAGAGTTACAAAATGTGATAGACTCCCAGAAGAAAGCATAATGAACTCTGAGTTTTGAGCTGGTCTGAAAAAAAATGAGTGGGAGTTTGCCAGATGAGCAAATGAGAGAATTGAGTTCTGGGCAGACAGAGAAGCACTGTTTGGGAACTTCCAAGTTGCTCTGTTTGCCTCGTGTGAGATGTGTGGGGCTTAACCTCAGATGAAGCCGGGAAGGTAGTCGGGGGCCAGATAAAAAAAGAGCCTTGTGTGTTCTAGGGAGGATTTTACACTTTATCCTGAAGACAAAGATTCTAAACCTGGAAGTAACATAATCAGATTTTGTTTTAGAAAGATGACTTTGGCAGCAGTGTTGAAGTGGGGTTGGAGCTGGAAAGAATGAAAGCCAAGAGCCATTTGGGAAGTTTTTGGTATAGTGGTTTAGGTTAGAGATGGTGAAGGTCTGAGCAGAAGGAGAGGCAACAAAGATGGAGAGAATGGAATGAATTCTAGAAATGTTCTGTGACTGGATGTGGGAGGAAGTGAGACTCAATTGACACCCAGTTTGGGTGCCTGAGGCAGTTGGTGCTATTCACTCAGAGAATGTGGGAGTTGATGAGAGGGCATGGGGATAGTGGGAAGTTACTCTACCTTGTTTCGTTTGGCCTTTTTTGTTTGAGACACCTGTGGGCTGTCAGGTCACTGTTTAAAAGCCAATTCTGAAAGTATGGAACTGGAGTTTGTGCAGGTGGGGATCTGAAGTTTTGTTCTAAATGATGCATAAAGAACTTGTGTGTTTTCTCTGTGTTTAATTCAAATGTCATTAGTAATTATTTATTTTATTATAGAGACATTTTAATGAATAACAATTTTCAATAAAAGGTAATTCATTATTTTATGAATAAGTAATATATTTTCCTATCCCAGGCCCTGAAATATGATCTGTTTAAAATTACATTGGAGTCAAACCTAATTTTTCTAGCATTAGTGAAGAGGGAGTATTACACATAAGTAACTGCACCTCATTTATTATTTTCTGCAGCCTCTGAAGTGGCAAGCATAGTACAGTGATAGTTTGGGTGGCAGTATAGCATGATAGTTAAAAATATGGATCTGGGTTCAACTCAGTTGGTTCAATCATTTGGTAATTGAGAGACCTTGGGCAAGACCCTTAACCTCTCTGTGTCTCAGTTTTCTCCTGTGCAAAATGGGGATAATAATAGAACTTACTTCATAGGGTTGTTGTAAAGATTAAGTTAATATATGCAAAGCACTTGGAACTTAGTTAGTGTCCTATAAGTGTGTGTGCTGTTATTATTAGTGGTGAGACATCTAGAATATTGTGTATCATTTAATCAGTGCTTAGTAAAATTTAACAATAGCTGTTTTTGTTCCTACTGCTACACTTCTTCTACGACTACTATTGTTACCACTATTGTTTTGTTATAGCCCAGCATAGGATTGGGACCCTGGTCTATACAAGGCTTTTCATGTTATCCTTGGAAGTCCTGCCTTGTGGTAGTCTGTTTGGGTCTTTAGGTAGAGGTTTAGAGCTGAAGATATCCTTAGAAAACATCTACCCCAACCACTAGAGGTTAAGTGACATGCCCATGGTCAAATAGGTTAGTAGTAGTGACAGGATTCAAACTCAGGTCTCCCAATACCCTATTCCAATTTTCTTTCTGTGGGCTCATAGAAGAGGTTATGTGTGGGCCTTCCAGCTCAAGGAAGCTCTGATTCAGTCTTGAGCTAGCTGAGGAACTCTTAAGTGTTAGAGGAAGCCAAGGTTCCTTAGTTTCTCAGGTCATCACTGTACAGTTCCTCCATGGAGAACTGGATCAGAATTCCCATTCTTCTTAAACATGGAAAGCATTATTATTTTGACTTGATTTGATGGAGCCCTCTAATACATTTCCTGGCCACTTTAAACAGAGTGTATTGGGCATAATTTAATATTTTCAATAACTCAGGGTTATTATTAATAACATCAGTTTTATTGGCCTAATAGTCAAGAAAATGTTCAAGAGAAGATTAGTTTGTGATGGGATGAAGTTGGAGACTTGTGTTGTCACTGTTATTTATTTACTCAGTTAACATTTCTGAAGCATTGGTTGTGCACTAGGCACTATGCTGGGCCTTAGAGATATAATGGTTGGTAAAAACAGGTATGGCCTCTGCTCCCATGGAACTTACCAAATAAGATAAAGGTAGCATTTAAAATTCATGAAATGATTTAGCACTTAACAAATATGGTGAAATAATTTGGAAAAATGGTACCAATGTAAATTTAGAAGGATTAAAATAGTTTCTTAATAAAGGAGGGGATACCTCAGAATTCCCTGTGGTGCTTTTAACAATATTTCTGCTCAAGTCTCATCCCCCAAATTGTGATTCAGTCTTAAGACCTGAGCATTTACAGAACCTCTGTAAACAATTCTTATGTGTAATCCTGTTTGGGAACTGCTGCATTAAAGAATCTAAAGATTTTTTTTTTTAAGAGAGAAATGATAAAGGAAATAAAAAATATAAGAGGATATATAATCTTGGAGTTGGGAAGATAAATATATGCATAATATCGAAAGTATAAAGAAAATATTACTATAATCAATAGTATGAAACTTTTAAATTTCTGCACAGAACCATAAATAAAGTTAATGAGAAAACTAGAAACAGTTGCAACAAGAGTCATTATCCTTAATACATAAAGACTTACAGAGCAGTAAGAAAAATACAAGTATTTTACTAGATGGGAATAAAAAATACATAAAAGAAGAAATTTAAGTTTCCAGAAAAAAGTGAAAAAATGTTGTTAGTAGTAAAGAAAGGAGAAATAAAATGGCATACTATTTTCTCAAATAAAATATGCAAAGATTTAAAAGGAATGAATGGTGGCTGGCTGCAGGAGATCCAAGATGCCGGAAGAGTAAGTGGAAGCTACACTAATCTCCAAGGACCAATCTGGAATTACAAATAAATTGTAGAGAAATCATCCTGAATAACCAACTGAACACTAGCTGGAGAGAGGCCTTATAACCACAGACAGACAGAAGAAACCACTTCACCACAATGTGACTGGTAAGGAGTGAGAAGGAGGTGCGAGAAGGATGGCTGGGTTCCCATGGGGAGCAGCTGAAATTCTGGAGGGATTTTTCAGCAGTCTGGGGTCTGCCCTCGGAAGTGTGGGGTCTAAACCCCATCTGGGCTCCGCATCCTACAGCACTAGAGCCAGAAAAGCATCTAGATAACATCTAGCTGTGAAAAGTAGGAGCTGTTTCTGTCTGCCAGGGAGAGACAGCTGGATACACAGAGAGCCTCTTAAAGGACCAATGTACAAAATTTCCTTTGGAGCCACATACCCTGGGCTCTATCCAGCAGAGGGAGGGCAGAGTGGACTGGAGATACTTGAGAAGAGTCTGGGATTGGTAGCTCTCAGAAGGGAATTGAAGAAACAGCTGCCAGGATCCCTGTGCTGAGTCGTTCTCCATACTGGAGAAGCCATCTTTCTCAGGTGGAGCACTGCTCTCTGAATGGCATCAGCCTGAGGGGAAGCAATATCCCTGCCCCGAGGAATTACTCTGCCCTACCCTGTGGAGCTTAACCCCTGCTCCTGAGTACAGATGAAGCTATATCACTGATTAGTTTAACAACTACGGCAGATCTGTGGGAGCTCTATGAGACTTCAGCTGACCCTCTCCCAGGCCTCGTGCAGATAAAAGCTGGCCTTGCAGCCTTGGTACACAGCCTTGTTCTTTTGGCACACAAACAGGCCCAGCAGAGGGAGCCACAAGCTCTGGATCACTGATAGCTCCAAACAGGTTGACCAGGGCCGGTCGCAAGAAGCGTCTAACACAGACCTACACCGGAGTCTTTGCAGATCTACCTCATACACAGAAACAAATACAAAGAAGCAAA